ATATAATGGATCGCCGTGTTGAACGTTATTTATATAAATATAGTGCATTCGGTCATATAGTCTCAATCTAATCATTATTCATATGTTATCAATCAGCGACATTCTTTCACCATCGTTAAACAAATCGCCTATAGCTCTGCAACGTCTCAGATTAAAGTGAAAAGCGTGCTAAAGACTTTTAGGTGTTCTCAGTCTACACATTCTTTCGTTCAAAAAACTATAACAATACAAACACCTACTTTTTTGGATAAATTTTGAAAAGTAGATGTTAGAATGTGTAGACTGTGAGAACATCTCAAAATCTTTAGTACACTTTTCGCTTTGATCTGAGACGTTCCAGAACGCTGGGCGTCTCACCGTTCGAAAATTATAAAAGAAAAAAAAATGCAAGCAAATCGTTACGAAATGTCACTTTGGTAGTAGAGTTAGCTGACCAAACCAATAGAGTACAATCGGCATACATTTCTCGCCTTATATTAAAGGTAAGACTTCTCATTTCATTTTCAGCTCAAAATAAGTTGACGTATTTACATAAACTTATGGTGTCACCTAAAAGTCGACGTGTCCACTTTTTTGTCAACTTTGTGAGTAAAGTAGGTGATCTGTTAATCTTCTTTTTGATTTTGACAAGCGCCTAGCTATATAACTAGCGCGCCTTCACTTCATCGTCTATTAGTTCATATCGATTTATACTGCACATAAAAAATGCAAGAAAGAATTGATTTGATGCCATTTTGTGGAATGTATGTGATTGAAAAAGTTCTTTTTCGAAGTAAAGTTCTAAAAGAGTATATAAATATTTTTTTGTTGTTGTTATAGATAAATTCATCATGAATAAAATGTTTGCCGAACTCGATGCTTTGGATGATTCTAAAGTAAATGAGATATTTGGTGGAATTTTAGTCGTTAATGATTGGACATTCTGTAAATGTGGACGAGAAAATTGTCATGAATGCTTAATGGATCACTGATTTGCAAATAATGAAGAAAATGGTATTGATGATAATGGTAAATATCGTGATGCATTAGTAGTATCTACAAAAAAAGTTGATAAATTTAAATGGGCATGTCAACGTCATGAATGTGTTGATTGTCAAAATTATTTTAATTTTTAAAGAATTAATTCGAAAAGGTGGAATTAAATATAAAAAATTCATGGAGCAAGTAAAAATGTGTCCTGAGAATGTTTTATATCATTAAATAAATAGAGAAATAATTTTATTTATTAAGATTGAAAATGAGGCAATATTCGATCGGTCATCCGTTAAATTATGTCAATTACTTGAAAATATGGATGTTGATACATCTAAAACAACACAAAATGATTCAAAAGATTTGTATAAAAAAGTTTATTAGCATTGAGACGTGCTCAGCGACTCGATACAATGTTTCCATCATCCATTGATCCAAATACATTATCAGAATCGAATAAAATAACGGATGGTTAGATACAAAATGTATTTTAATATCGTTAATCTGAATGAAGCATATGAAAATTATCAAAAATTAATATGCACTGGAAAACGTGATGCTAATGAAGTGAGTAATGCTGTTTTTATTTCTATTATGCTATATTAATGGATGGCCCAGAATAAATGACTCTCCTCGTATTTTGCTTATAACTTTTCTTAGATCTGATTGCTCTTCCAAACGACGCGCTGTCAAATTCTCTAAAAGGCTTGATTAGACTTATTTCTATAGAAAGTTAAGGAGAAAAATTAAACAAAGAATACTCAACATAATGAAACGCATCAACTTTCGTAAGCTGAAAAGTTTTTTTCAACTACTTTCATTGAGTTGGATGATAAAAAGAAGAGAATATTCGTCCTTGAAAAGCGCTATCAACATATATTAGATGCACAAATGCAAAATCAATCTTTGAGGCTTACATTGCCTTTCTCCTCTACGAGGCTTTGTAAAATCCAACTATTTGAAGGTGTTGATTCGGAGCTCCGGGAAAATACTGCATAACGAAGCCAAAATAACACCTTTTTTGCTCGATCTTTTTTTATATTGATGAGAAATGACGCCTGTGCCAGATTCAGCGGTGAAAATTGCCTTGAAGCTTTCTTCATAAATTCGTCTGTTGAACAACGGATTTTGGTCACTTTGAGATGATACCCAAGCAAACATCACCTGAAAAATCCAGATACATTTCGTCTATAATCGGGCGATACATGACTAGTTGCCATCCAGATTACTAGTTGAAAAAGGGACTTTTAACTAGATCCGCCTGCATGTGCGTCTAGCAATAGTTAAATTGATCGATCAACCGATAGTTGCAACAAGAAGAAATCTTGTAATCGGCCAATTACTAGATTTACACTGTCGTTACACAGTAGTTGCAATCGAGTGAAAATCTAGTAATCTAGATGAATCAGGCGATACTAGATTTTTTTCTTCTTGGGAAGTTTGTCTAAGCTACGTTGTTTTCCAAAGTTTAGAATATTTTAAGCAACTCTAAAAACAGTGAAACAAAAGTGAAAATATTTTTGAGTACTTTAAAGTGCGCTTTTCTCCTTATGCAGTTCACATCAAAGTGACCACTGAAAAATCCAACATTCCAAACTTCATCCCAAAGTGACCAAAATCTGTTATTGTTTACATTATTTAGTAATTAAGTTAACATTTTCGCTTGTAGAGGAATGTTTTGAAGAAAAATTATACTTTTAATTGTAAGGTGTAATTATACTTTACACCTTTATACTTTTCGACGATAAGTTGAATATTTGTGATGATTTCTTTCGGTTCGATTTCTGTGATTATCATCTTAAAAATGGAAAAACTCAACTAAAAACATTTCATCTTTTAAACTTTTTAAATTATTTTATCGATTGAAGTGTGTCTCGGAACGCGTCTCATAGTTTCTATAATTTGATTTTCTATTTGAATATTTTCTCTTCTCTGTTAATTTTTCGTAAATATTAGTCTACTCTACCCTAAGCCTGCAAAAGTTCAGCGTTCCTTTTAAGCGTGCTCTCTGAACGTGAACGCTAAAGCATGTTGCGTTCCTTGAACGTGAACGCTAGCATTCCGATCAATGTGAACTTTATTTTATACTAACGATGTTCATCTTGCGTGGAATGAAAATTATTTTGAGACTAACGTATGCATAAGTTAATTTTATTCTCCGGACGTAAACAGGGTTTCTGTTCGTTTTTATTACATACTTCTGTAGGCGCCAAAATACAAGGCACTCGCTTGTTTTACGAATAACTCAAAGATGACAATTCATAGAAAATTGCGGTTTTCAGAAGTCAAAGCTATATTGACGCTATATTTTCACAAGCAAAACTCCTTTCTGGAATTATTTAAAAGATCGATTTTCCAGAAGGTGTTTAGGAAACCAACTCAAATCTCTAGAAACCGGCATAGAAATCTCTTGACTTCTTTTTACAGAGAGATAGGTTGGTTTCAACTTTCATATCTATGCAATTATTATTCGGCTGGGAAGGCTTTAGGTTTAGATTTACTTAACAATTCGGATTGGGTCAGTGAACGACCAGATGTAGCTGTTCAAACTGCTGTCTGGCATTTTAGCGTAACTAGTATGTTTGTTCCAGCTCGACAAGGTGATTTTGCAGCCACTTCTCGGATCATTAACGAAATACAAGAATGTGACGGAGGACCAGGAGATCCGATGCAAAAGACACGAGTGAAGACGTATAAACGAATTCGACAATGCTTTGGACTAGAAGAACAAGCAAGGAAACTTACATGTTAATTTTATTGTTATTTTTCATCCTGTTGGCAATAAAATTTTCAATTATATAAATTTCTTTCATTTTATATAAAGATCCATGAATTTGTCTCTTCAATAGTATTAGATGGTTTTATCTGAACAGTTTCTTCTTGACATGTCAAAGATTTTTCGATCATTCTCCTTTAATCAATCAGAATCTTTCTGAAAATGCTTTATATCTTAGACTTTTCTTTTTTGAACTAAAATCTTCGATATTCTAAGGTATTACTCATCAGCGCTGTAATAATTACAAATACGCACCCACATAGAAAGGAAGACATATCACCGTGTGCCGGTTCAGAAGAAAGAGTTTTCCGCCGATAAAAATTGCATATTCGAACTCAGCATGGTCGATTACCCTCCCTAATCAAAGTACTCATATAATGAGCACGACTTTACTCATAATTCGTCCATGAGTACTCATATTAGTACTACTAACAGTTTTTAAGTATTGTTACTCATGTAATATTGTTACTCAGAAAATATTCATTCACCGTTTTATGTTGCTAAACTGAAACAGTATAAAGAACGTAGAATGTAGTGAAGAAACATAGAATATTTATATTATTATTTCCTCACACGTCTCTCTGTATATAGTCAGCGATGAATTCGTCTATGGCTAGACTTGTAGTCCTACTCTGGCTGCCTGAGATTATTCCTCTATATGAAAATATCAGATGAACAATACTCATGAGTACTAGAGACATTTTCAGCAGAGTACCACTTTGAGTACTCACACTTCAGTACATTAACTAGGGTCGCCCCCACTTTCAAGGGAAGGTCCCTAAGTGTGTCTCGGGGAATTTAGCGAAAACTATGTGGGTTTGGTAAGTCAAGTGCACCTATCTCAAGTATGAAACAATTGGATGCTGAGGCTGTTGCAGTAAAAAGACATAGCCAAAGCATTTTCCAGATGATTGACGTTTACACTTAGCTATACACTTTTTTCTGAAGATTTTTCTTCTTCTCCGGTAATATTTATCAAACGCGAAAAAGAATGAAACTGTCATGACTAGAGTTCCGTCGCTCTTTACGTAGTGTCTAAGTTTTTTCTCCTATGCCTTATCAATACGAGGGCGATACAAAACACGATTGCGAAAAACTTATAGTTGTCTGCAGTTCTAAGTGGCTACAGAGTAGTGACTACATCGGTTATTTCACTTCTCGTATTGTCGCAGAATTGTCAAAGCAATGCTTTCTCCAGACCGTGCTGCAGCTAAGCTTTAAGTGATGTGCCTTTTTCTTCTCGTTACTGTTGGCATTTTAAAAGTAGTTAAAAAAAACGGCACAAACTCCGAAAAACTTCAATATCCTCTGAGCGTTTAAAATCCAAAACAACTGTTTTTTTAGCTGTTTGTTTCAAATACCGGTTTTCCCTATCATTAGGCCGTCCAGCCATATCTCGTTAAAAGGTGGCGCTATATTTCGGTTAATCTTTTACGTTAGTACTCCTATTTTAAATGAAGTCAGGCTTTTTGCTTACAAAGTTTTTCAGGGATCCCCTGGAGACCTTCGGCGAACTTAACGCAAATAGTTTAGTGATCTTTATGATGTTTCGAGAGGATCTCTGAACAGCTTTGCAAGCAAAAAACCTGACTTCATTAAATATAGGAGTACTAACGTAAACGACTAACTGAAATATAGCGCCACCTTTTGACGAGATATGGCTGGAAGGCCTGATGGGTAACGAAAACCAGTATTTGAAACAAACAGCTAAAAAAGCAGTTGTTTTGGATTTTAAACGGTCAGAAAATACTGAAGTTTTTCAGAGTTTGTGCCGTTTTTTTAACTAATTTTAAAATGCCAAAAGTAAGGAGCCGAAAAAGTCACACTCAAAGCTTAGCTGCAGCACGGTCTAATATTTTATGTTGTAAATAGAATGAGTAAAAATGCATGTGTAGAGAATAGCGATAATATATATGGTGTTCTTTTACTAGTATATATCTGGAAGGGAAAGAAAGAAAAAAATTATTTCACCTGTCTACTCTGTGCCTTGTTCGCTTAGAGTTTAAACATGGCAGTATGACATGAAAATTTTTTTGATTAATAGATGACACGATCACCATTGTGTCTTCCCAATTTCTTCTTTCTTTAACTGCTGAAATTTGTTAACAGACACCTTTCTAGCTCTTTGTATGTCCACAAATTTATGCTTCGTAGAATGAAGTTCGTTCAATTTTACCATTAGATTAATAGGGTCTGATTAAATAGGAATAGGAAGTTCGGATAAATCAGTAGCAAATTATTATAGAAATTGCTTTATCGTCGTAATAAACTTTTATTTAAATTAATCTTCATAACATCTAGACGTTTCTTTTGATTGATAAGATGGCGGACTAATATAAAGGACTATAGTGAGTACAAGAATGACTAAGTGACGAAGAAATAAAAAAAAATAGCAAAAGGAAAGAAACAACAAATATAACTGTGCACATGGTTAGCGGTGACAGGGAAGTCCGCTAACAATACCGTTATTCGTAGGATCTTACATTTATCTCAGATAATCCGAACACCGTTGATGTAAATAAGGCTCACGTTCATCGGGACGATAGCGTTCACGTTCAAGGAACGAAACCCGAACTTTTACAGGCCTACTCTACCCACATACTAGTTTAAAATTATTTTTTCTCAATAAAAAATCTTTTCAGAAAGTTTAGGTTACATTTTTTACGAAAATAAATTTTCAGCATTTTAAAAATTGTAGTCCAGCATGGACGATTCATTGAACTTTCATCAAACAGGAATGTCATCGAAAAATAACTTACGAGGGAACCCCACGAAGTGATTAAACGCTTTTTGCTCGGAATCTAGTGGGTTATAGGTTATCGACCATGCGGCTTCCGCATAGCCCTTCGAAGACCTGGTTTTCTAGAAAACGAGTTTTTCA